TTGGCCAGCCAATAGAAGCAGTAGGAGGCTGTGCGTGGGAGCAATGGGGGTGTGAAGCCAGGTAAGCGGCCCTCCTCATGTCCAGAACCCCACACCCCAACCCCCCTCAGTTACCACCCCCACCAAGACCCTGCATCCCCAGCTTGCTCCTGCACCTTTCCTCCTTGCCAGATACCCTCCCTCCTGGCCAGACTCTGCCCCCTGCCTTGCTCCTGCCTCCTTTCCCCTGGCCAGACACTATACTCTCAGCTTGCTTCTGCACCCTCTCCCCTGGCTGGACACCCTACCACCACCTGCTCTTGCACCCTCCCCCCTAGTCAGACACCCTTCCTCCACTCTACTCCTGCATCCACAGTTGCTCCTGCGCCCTTCTTCCTGGCCATGCACTGTACCCTCCCTTGCTCCTGCTCCCTCCCTCCAGCCCAGATTCTGCACACTTCCTTGCTCCTGCCTCCTTTTCCCTGGCCAGACACCCTACGCTCAGCCTACTCCTGTACCCTCCCTCCTGGCCACATTCTGCACTCCCCCTTGCTCCTGTACCCTTCCTCCTTGCCAGACACCCTCCCTCCTGGCCAGACTCTGCACAGGGCGACAGCAGGAGTCACTCCCCCATCACTCACCATGTGGCTGGAATACCCAGCAACCCGCTTTGCTCCACTCTGCCTCTCCCTGCATCTCTCCCAGCCTGCCGCATGCAACTCCTCAGCAGCAGCAAGAAGCAGAGCACTCCAGCCCCATGTTGGAGTGAGGGTGGGGCCTGCAGCAGGGAGGGTTTTCACCAAGCGCCATGCCTAGGGCTTTGGGAGAGGGTTGCCCCAGGATCCATGGCCCCCTTCGGACAGCTTTGGCAGGCTGGCAATGATACTGGGAAGAGTTGAGGTTGGTGAGGTGATATTTTCACTTTCATACTTTCTGATCTTTGAGCTGGGTTTCTCAAGTGTAACCTTAACTCGCAGAGTCTAGGCTTTCTCACGCTTGTGTCTATCTGGAGGATTTCGCCCTTAAGAAGTAAATCTGTACTCTGATGTAGAAATGGCCTTGTGGGTTTCCATGGTGACTGTGTCTGACTCCAGATCAAATTGTTCAGAGTACTGGTAAAAAAAAAATGTGTATGTGCGAGGGGGCGTTTTGTTTTTTTCTAATTGCAAGTTCACCCTTGGATCTGAAAGCCCAGCTGTATTCTTCTTGGCTCATGCATCTTTACTGCCAAGCAGTGTTCTGCAAGCCAAATGCTGTTCTGCCTCACAGCTGGGCAACCCCTTTTCCTTCACACGATGCCTCCGCCTTTATCTTCAGTGGAGGTGGCAAAGGTGGACAGTGTTCTGTTGGTCCTAGCATTGAAAACTGGGGAACAGTTCTGTTGATGACTGACATGATGGACTAGCTGCCAACACATTTTTTCTGAGGGTATGTCTGTAGTTCCAGAGTGTGACTGCAGCTCATATAGACACACATGAGTTATAGTTAATCTAGCTAGCTCAGGTGCCTGAGAGTGAAGCTGTGACTGCACAGGTTTCAGCATGGGCTATACCAGCCCTCCTGAATCCTGGGCTAGCTACGAGGATAGTTAGCCCAAGCTGCACCTCTACTGCTAGCTACGAGGATAGTTAGCCCAAGCTGCACCTCTACTGCTAGCTACGAGGATAGTTAGCCCAAGCTGCACCTCTACTGCTAGCTACGAGGATAGTTAGCCCAAGCTGCACCTCTACTGCTAGCTACGAGGATAGTTAGCCCAAGCTGCACCTCTACTGCTAGCTACGAGGATAGTTAGCCCAAGCTGCACCTCTACTGCTAGCTACGAGGATAGTTAGCCCAAGCTGCACCTCTACTGCTAGCTACGAGGATAGTTAGCCCAAGCTGCACCTCTACTGCTAGCTACGAGGATAGTTAGCCCAAGCTGCACCTCTACTGCTAGCTACGAGGATAGTTAGCCCAAGCTGCACCTCTACTGCTAGCTACGAGGATAGTTAGCCCAAGCTGCACCTCTACTGCTAGCTACGAGGATAGTTAGCCCAAGCTGCACCTCTACTGCTAGCTACGAGGATAGTTAGCCCAAGCTGCACCTCTAATGCTAGCTATATTGGGTTCATGAACTTCCATCATACCTTGTGACTGTAGAGTATATATAGCCCAGTGGTTCTCAAAGTGCAGTCTGCCTTACATGTAGTCTACAGCTTGAGCTCAGCCCCTCTTCCCCTCCCCCTGCCCCTGCAGCAGGGAGCCCACGCAGCCACGAGGTTGGAGCACCAGCAACAGCTTCCCACCTGGAGGATGCCCCAGGGGGTGAAGAAAGCCCCAACCTTCCACACCAGACCAGCTCCAGTAGAGAGACAGCGCAAGCGTTTCCATGCACTGCCGCACCCCCACCAAGACCCTGCATCCCCAGCTTGCTCCTGCACCTTTCCTCCTTGCCAGATACCCTCCCTCCTGGCCAGACTCTGCCCCCTGCCTTGCTCCTGCCTCCTTTCCCCTGGCCAGACACTATA